GCCGGGAGGACCATCCCCTCCTAGGAACGATCTGACCGCAGTGTCTGCGAACGACTTGACGCACAGAACTAACGCACACAGTGCCGGGCGGCACTGACTCCTGAATTTAAAAGAACGAAAATCGCCAAGGGATTGTCAAAAATGATGACTTTAATAGTGATAGGGAAGGCAAAATAAAGCACAGATTTTCTTTCTGGCCCAGTTTCCAAATTTTTTACTTTTTGTCCCCTACATCACCCCATACTTTTCTGCCTCCACACTCCAATCTTCTACCAGGAAAAATAAGACAATCACACAAATGCAGTCACCTGACAAAAACTGAGCTTTTTAACCTCAGCTCACTTCTCTTGTTTATGAACATGCTGAATCTTTATTATACTGACCACAGCACTTGGTTGATACTTTTCCAAATCTACATAAATAACCACACATACCCTACTCAGCTGTGCTTCAGAACTATGACCTCACTCCACTAACTTAATGAGAGGAATTAAATACTCTGGGCATGAATCTTTGAATTTCATCTTTACCTCAGAAACCAGATTATGTCTGGCAAATATTTAATTAGAATCTAACATGAGCTAGCTTCCAGGTTATAGAAAATACATAGTGCAGAGTAACAGCTGACCACCACGAGCAAAGGGAGGGAGGGGGTGGGTGGGGGAAGCACACTGACAAATCTGGGGGGTGGGGGGGGGGACAGTGATCCCAGTCCAGCGCAGGCTATATCTCAAGTCAGTGTCATCAAAAAATGGTGTTATACTAAAACATGAAGGGACACAATTCCATGAACACTGCCTTCCATTTGCCTGACAGAATGAAGGAATTTTCTCTACATTAAATTGATCCCTCAAGGAAAATAGACCAGTAAGTTCTACACTTACATCTGCGCCTTTTCTCCTGCCCCTACGGAAACGCACACGGTCCCCCTCCCTTTCCAATGCTTACCTTTCTAACTATGTACATAAAACTGTTTAGACAGTTTCTACTGTCAACAGATTTCTAACATGTAACCCCTCCTCCTCTAAACAAGCCCCAACAAGGAGTAATTTTCCTGTAGCAAATCTTAACTAATCTCTAACCGGGTTCCCAGCATTATTTCCATTAATTGGTGTGAAGCAACTGATAGCATGACATTGCAAATTCATAAGAGCTTCACCTCCAACTACATCCCCCTCATTAATGATTCCTCTCTCTCCTCCCATTTCCTGTACATAGGCATTGACTACTCACCCTCAGTGACCCCATTTGCTCTCACCTTTCTAATTAAAGCTTTCTAACGGCCCTTTGTTTCTGACCGTTCTCAGAAAACTTCAAAATCCATGGTTAAAAATAACTCCACTGGAGTATGCCAAAGCACATCTTCCGACCCGTTACACACTTCTGCCATCCTTGCTGCCATTTCCCAAACTCCCGCTGAGGCACTCGGTTCTTCCTGGCCAGGTGACTGGAAGGGTCTCCTACACAGTCCCGTGTATGTATCTCCCAACACCAACCCACATTACAAGCTGGTACCAGCACTGCCTTCCTAATGCTGCTCTGATTATTCCTCGCCTCTGCTCCAAACCCAGATGGCTCTCCTTTTTCTTTGTCGACTGAATTAAGTGTAATTTCTCATCCTGGGGGCAATTAGATCCTTCACACCAAAGACAGTTTATCCCACTTTTCCTATATATCCTGGAAACTCCAGACAAAACAGACAAAATTACCTTCTTCATAAACAACTTGCATGGTCCTTAGCGATGTTTTATCACCGGCCAGACAAATGCCTATCACGTGGCCACTGCAGGGAGTCGTCAGCATACCAGGGACAGTCCAGAAGTAAGAGCTGCATTAGACAAGAGGCAGCTGACCTCATGAAGCTCAGCTCGGAAAACAAGTCGAGCACCATGAAGTGGAACGACGGACCAAGTGGACTACAAGTTATATACTCAAAATAGCAGACAAATAAAGAGGAATAATTGAACATAAAATTAAGAAAAGATATAAAGGGAAAAGATAAATGTTATTTAAGAAATAAACGGTACCCTTATTATTTGCAGTATGACCAAATAACCCTCTCAGCTCACCCAAAATCTAGCATGACCTAAATTTTCAACTTCATTGGCCAAAGCAACTAATGTGTTTTTACATTTTAAGTCAGAAATGTAACAAAGCATAACAACTTTGTTGAGTCTAATGGTGACTCCAATAATTTAGTAATACATATAATAAAACTTAGGGCAAATGCAAATTCTTTTCCTAAATGAAAATTATAAAATTTATATGAAATTTATGTGTCTATATTTAATTTGAAAGCAATAAAACTTTGAAAAGTGTCATGATTTTGATGGGACGGATGATTTTTCTCTTGAAAGATATCATTATGGGTATAACTCTTTTAAAACATTTCAGTGTAAGTGAAAAAAGGCAACATACTCCATCAGAGATAAAAAATAAAATAAAATCCAAGCTGAGATGTTAAGAGTGATACTGTGGACAAAACCTCACTGAGACACTTTCATCCGAGAGCCAATAATAAGGGCGCCACTGATTCAGGAAAACACTTGGTAGTCAGAGAAGGTCAGAACATCTGACCTCAATGCAGAAAGCATGGAATGAATGATCTGAATATTAAAAATGTTATTTGCTAATTTATTAAGGATCAATTCTATACTTTGAGAGAGTGCAGCAAATACCCAGTGGACTTTAAAAGGCTCATTTTAGGTGTTTCCTCATTTTAAGAAACACTAAATCCAAGAGAAGGGAAATTCAAATAATACACATGAAAAAATTTAACTTAATGCTATTTAGAATGGCAACCTAAAGCAATTTTTTTTAACTATATGACTCTTAAAAAGCATTTATTCACAAATATTTATTGAGGACTCACTTTGTACTAGACAATGAACTCAGTGACAATAATATAGTGACAACTGAAATACTTTCAGAAGCCAGGAAGTTTATGGTTCTGTGGAAAATACAAATCACACAGTCGGGGAAGCACCACTATCGAGATGCTCTAAATGCACAGAGGGAGGAGATGCACGTAGCCCCGTCACGGAAGGGAGGAGTACCCGGCTGCAAGGAGCTGGATCGCTACCCCCAAGGGCCACGGCCCAGGGGGCCTGGGAGCACACGGAGGCCGGACTCAAGGCACAGAGGGACCCCGCGCTTGAGAACGTCAAGTAGCCCAGTATGACAGATGGTGCGGTGTGAGGTGGGCAGCAACAAAATGGACAAGCAGCCCATGGAATCCAGAAAACAAAGCACCTTCGAGAACAGACTGTGAGAAGCGATGCTCAAGAGGTCATGGGCAGCTGCAAAGTCACCTTGAAAAGATGACATGGATCCTACCTAACATAGTAACACTTGGCAGACTCCAGAATACTGACTTGCTTAAGAAATGTGTTCAGTCAAAAACAGGCTGCTCAATTCTGAGTGTTCAAAAAGAGAGAGATTCTCAGCAACATTTTGACTTTGCCCCCCACTGGCACACTGCTCAGGAGAAAGGACGCTTAGCCAAACTCCACGCGTCATTGTCCAGTTGGCTGGCAAGGCAATCGGCACTGTGGAAGGAACCTTGCACGACCCCATTAAATTTTCGAATTACGTAAGTCAATGACCCATTCATTAAGTAAATGTTTATTAAATCTCCACCATGTACATTCCTGTATACTAAGGATACAATGGTAAACAAGAGAGTCCAAGCCCTCTGCCGCCATGGAGTTGATTACTTGCCCACGAGGGAAGGAAGCCAAGTACCCAAGAGCTCATGTAGGTTTCAAGGCTAAGAAGGGTCACAGAGGAAAAGCAGGCACATGTGGAGGAGAGAAAATGAAGGCATGCTGCAATTTCATGCAGGAGTTTTTTTTTTAATTGCAACATCTTTAGGAAGGATCATTTTCACTGAAAAAGAGGGACTGACCAACAGCCTCATCTTATGTTTGGCTCAGGCTCGAGAGGGAGATGAGATCCTCTAGTCAAGACGATAACTACATTTCTCACTGTTACATTCTGATCTAATCCCCCCAGTCAACGAGATTGATGAGTCCAGGATCCTGAATCTTCAAAACTGAAGGTCAGACACGGGTTCAGGACAAATTCACCGAGTCAAGTGAAAGTCTTCCCATGAGGTTTTTTGGGGAAAACCAAAGACTTCTTCAGCCTTCCCAAGTGCTTGGCAGCAGCGTGAAGTACCAACCTGAAGGTGTAAGACTGGAGACCACTGACGACGCAACAGTGCGGGAGAAACAAAGGCACTGGCTTAGAGGGGGGTAGGGGCGGCGCACTCGCTGGCTCGGCACGGAGGGGGCAGTTCTCAGAAACAGGAAAGATGAAATCAGAAGTGCTTTAAGGAATAAGGAGCCTTGGGCTTCATCAACTTTCAGACTATAATAACATAAAGTGGGAAATAAGTGACTTTTTGAGATGGAGTCATAATTTAAAGGAATCAAGTTCAATAAATGCAAATAAAACCAAGTATGAATGAGTATGCCAACAGTTTTAATCAGGCAGAGACACTTCAGATTGAGACATGCAAATTAAGAGCACTTAATATTCAGTTCTGATGCTTACTTGCACTTTAAAGCTTATAAGAGTGACATTTAAAATGTTTTTCATAGTTAATAATCAAAACATGGTTGGTATCTTGGGCAATATTTACTATAACTCTTCTTAAAAAATAGTCAAAGATGATGAGTGCTTTAACTATTACACAGAATGAAATACTCTTTAAATAAGATGTTAACTAAGGGCATAGCTAGAAATGAAATCCAGTTTATTACCAAAAAGGAGAAGTTAGAATAGTATTAATCAAAGATATAAAACTCTGCTGCAAATGAAAGTATAAGTTGTATGCAGGGAACATTCTGGGGAACTATATTCATGTGCCTGAGAGCTTTTTGATTTTTTTTACCCAATAAAATGATCGACTACTTTTCTATGTTACATGTCAGGGAAAAAAAAAAATTCATGGAGTATACTGAGTGTTTTATGAGTAAGTTTTGAGGGAAGCTTACCCAGTATTGATGGAAATTATCTCGATCAGTGGGTTCTTCCTGATCTTGGGCAGATCCAGTCGTGCTCCCCCCAACCGCTTTCCATTACCCTTTTTCTGACCCAGGAGTCTCACAGAATGACCTACAAATAAAGCATATGATACACATTAGCAGGAGTCACACAACTTCCCTCAAATTTACTGCTTTCAAGAAATGTTTTAATATTTACACTCAACTTTTTCTTTCATGGAAAAAAAAACAACTTGGAGAAGATGTGATCACTGAACCTAAGAAATACTGCCAGCAGGCAACAGCTGTGTTTGTGTCCTGCAAGCAAAACTGCTTTGCTTATATTTGCACATTTCTCTTGCACAGATGAAACAGAAATATCCTCAGAATGTCATTCCCCAAGATATGAATGCTCCCTAGCACAGACCAAATACATGTATGATACATACGTACAGCACATGCGCACAGGCCTACCGCCTACTGACACTACAGGGGAAAATACAGAAAAGCAGATTATGGGCTCAAAGCAAACAGCAAATCACGTAAGAATAAAAGTACTGAGGTCAAATGACATTTTAGTGTGTATTTTTAAAAAAACAGAAGTTTCCTGACTTATTTTAGAAAACATGACAAACAAGAATCAGACCACAGACATCACTAAAATTTTTTATAATTTTGAAATTCAGAATTAATTGCAGAGCTATAGAAAAAATGGAAGAATAGTACAAAGATTTCCCATCCCCTTCAGATTCCCTAATTATTATTTTGTCATTTGCAATACACATGTAATACGATAACATAATACATTTTATTTTTATAATTTCATTGATACACATCCTCTTAAATTCACCCACTATGAGTAGACAATTCAATGATTTTAAATAAATGTATATAGTTGTGCAATCATCACAAAAACCCAGTTTTAGAACATTTCCATCACCCCCAAAATTCCCTCAAGCTTATTTATAGTCCATCTCTGCTCCCATACCAAATACACCATTTTGTTGACCAGCTGATGGACATCTGGATTGTTCCCAGTATCTATTATGATAATGCTTCTATGAATATTCATATACATGTTTTTATATGGACATATGTCTTCATTTCTCTTGGATAGATTCCTAGGAATGGGATTGGTAAGTCACGTGGTAAATTTATATTTAACTTTGTAAGAAACAACTGTTTTTCCAAAGTGGTGGTACCATTCATATCCTGCCAGGTATGAGGGTTTGAGTTTATCCACACTGCTGCAAAGACCTCATACTGTACCTTCTCCTTGACAACATTCTAGTGGGTGTGTGGTGGCATATTACTGTGGCTTGAATGAATATCATTCCCATAATGACTGATGATGCCAAACACCTTATCATGGGATCATTAGAGAAAAGCAGCCAAGGAAGAAAGAATTCCTCCTGGCCAATGCTGAGCCGGGTCTGCAGTGCTTTCCTGCTTTCAGACTCGGGAATGAGAGAGAAGCTCTTCCGGCATCTCCCGCCTGCCCAGCCGCAGACCTGGACTCACTCCGACAGCTCTCCTGACGCTCAGGCCTTTGGACTTGGACTGGAACCACACATCAGTGGCTCCTGGGCCTTCGGCTTCCCAAATGCAGATCTTGGGATTCTTGGCCTCTGTAAATGTGTAAGCCAGCCGCTTACCCCACATCTCTTTATAAACACAGACACATCCCACTGCTTCTGCTGTCCTGGAGAACCCTCACTAACACAAATGTCTACTCCAGTATTTTGACAATATTGCAATTGGCCTATTTGTCTTAATATTGAATTGAAAGAATTCTTCATATATTCTGCTTATAAGCTCTTTATCAGATATGATTTGTAAACATTTTCTCTCAGTTTGTAGCTTATAGTTTCACTTAGACATGCTATCTTTTGAAAAGTAAATTTTTTTGATTTAATGAAGTTCACTTTATCAATTTTTTTCTTTCATAAATCATCCTTTTGCTGCTGTATCTAAGAACTCTTTGCTTAGCCCAAGAACACAAAGATTTGTGCTGCAATTTCTTCTAGGAGTTTTACTGTTTTCTGTTTCAGGGCTAGGCTTCACTTTGTTACTTTTTGTGAATAGTAAGGATCTCAGTTTATTTGTTGCATATGAATATTCCACTGAAGTGCCATTTCTTTTCCCTCCTCCTTCTTTGTGCTATTGATGTCACACATATTAACACATAGCTTTGTAAACCCAAAAATACAGTGCTGTAATTGTTTTATGCAATTACATTATGTTTTAAAAAGAGTGAAAAGAGTATTTTACATCGACCCATATAATTACCATTTCTAGCACTCTTCGTTTCTCCTGAGATTTCAAGTTGTCATTTGGCATCACTTCTTTCTGCCTGAAGAACTTCCTTAGTATTTCTTGTAAAGGAAGTCTGCTAGCAACAAATTATTTATTTGGGAATATTTTTATTTTGCTTCATCTGTGAAGGATATCATTGCTGGATATAGAACTATTATTTGACAGTTTTCTACTTTGAGCATTGAATAATCATTCCACTGCCTTTGATCTCCATTCCTTCTGATGAGTATTAATTTTATTGTTGTTCCCCTGTACATAATGTATCACTTTTTCTTTATGCTTTCAAGATTTTCTGTCTTTCAATACTTTGACAGTGATGTCTCTAGGTGTGGGTCTCTGTGATTTTCGTACATTAATTCATGTGACATTTTGGATCCATAACATTTTTTCACCAAGTTTGGGAAGTTTTCCATCTATTTCTTAAAAAAAAAAAAAAACTTTGACACTTTTTCAGTATCCTCTCCTTCTGTGACTCCCATGACACACCTGTTGTGTACCAGATGTCCCACAAGTCTTTGGGGCCCTTCAATTCTTTTCTGTTCTTAGACAATTTCTATGCAATTTTACTAATTTTTTTCTTCTGCTACCTCCAATCTATAATGAAGCCCATCTAATGAAAATTTCATTTCAGTTATTGTACATTTCAATTCCAGATTTACCATTAATTTTTATAATTTCTTTTTATAATTCTGTATCCACATCATGTCACCATTCTTTCCTTAAGTTGTTTTAACATGGTTTTACTTAGTATAGGGCAGTCTCTGCTGAATCCAGCACCTGTGGTCACTGAAAGACAATCTGCAGAGACTGCTTTTCCCCTTGGATGTGGTTAAACTCGGCTTCTTTACAGGTATCGTAATGTTCTGTTGAATACTGCACATTTTAAATAATATACTGTAGCAACTCTCAGTTCAGCTCCTTCACAACCACCAAGGGTTGCTATCATTTTGTTCAGTCTCTTACCTGGACTAAATCTATGAAGTTTCTCTATGCTGAATGGTCACTGATGGCCTTGCTTAGTTTCTTGGTAGGTATTTTCCCCCCAGGCATGACTTCCCAGATCAACTCTATTATATCTGCATAGCTTTTTGTTCGGCAAAGACAGGTCACACATTTATCTAAATCCCTTTAGTCAGTAAGATTTCCACTACCTGCTGATGAGTCTGTGTGTGAGCTGGTGAGGGCAGTCCAAGTCAGGGCCATTTTCACATCTGCCCCACCTCCTATTTTCTCCGGCATTCCTGAGTCCTCGCCTACCTTCTCAAGATGTGCATGCAGGTGCAGGCAGGCAGAAAGGGGGCTCGGGCCCACTCCATATCTCTGGAGACTTGCCAGGCTTCCTATCACTGCCTCACCTGCCTGAAGTTCCTGTTAAAGCCCTGGCTAGTCCCCACCCACTCTGTGCACCACACAGGCCAACAGCGCATGGTGGATTGAGCCATAGACCCTCCTTGTCACCTGGCACCAAAATTTCCACAGTTCTCCACATCAACTGAGTCTGCCTAGGATTACAGGCTGCCCCACCCTGGTTGAACAGCCCAGCCCACACACAGAGTGGGGGGGCTCGGGGAAAGGGAGGAAAATGGGAGCCCCAGGCACAAACACCACAGACTCAAGGTGCTCTTAACCCAAAGGTAAGATTTTTTCACAAATACTTAGTTTGCTGAATGCTATTAGTCAATTTCAAGAGTGCTAAAATTGTTGGTTTTCAACCATTTGTCCAGCTTGTAGAATCTGTTGACCTTCTCACACAATCATGCCACAAGGAAATCAAAGCCAACTTCTTTAAAGCAATTATTCACAATTATTGCTTGAAATGTATAACTAATGCAGTTAAAACATGCTAAGCAATTACACACGGTTCACTGCCACTCATTTCAGAAAGATACTCCACTTAAACATCTCCTCTACGGACAGCTTTTCACGGCCAGAATAAAATCACTAGCCATGGCCTTTCTGCACTCAGTACTTTAAGAAGAAACATGAAGTACTTCACTCGTTCTGGGAATTCTTATTCTATGCAGAAACAAAGCTAGAGGGAAGCAAGCATTTGGACTGACAGATTTCACAGACTTCCAAGATCCGTTGAACTCTTCGATCAGAAGTCCAGTTAATGAAGAGGTGAGCCAGACGGGCATGATAACATAATAGTTCTCTGAGAGATGCCAGCAGTTCAGTAATGACTCTGCAAAGACACACTCTTTTCATACTAGCATGAGACAAATTTCATTATGTCCTGCTGAGACTCAGTAATGTGCGGCCTGCACTAATGACATTTGATAAATTATTCATCTTCACTATCTACATGCAAATAGGGGAACATACCTCTGCCTGATGATATAATGAGTTATTTTCCAATCCAATGATTCATTAAACAGTGGCAAACCTCACTGTAGTCTGGGTTTCTTTTTTAATTGAAAAATACAGTGCACTAAAAACAGAGTAGGAAATAACGTAAAAGTCCCTCATTATATCCGGCCAACAATGAAAGGAAGGAAATTCGACCACAGAACAATCATTTTTTAAAAGATGAACTAGGAGAATAAAACTTTTTTTATATACCATCTCTTTCAAAAATCCTTTGGCAAACAGAATTGCTGATTCAAATTAACTCCGTGTATAGACCATAAAGTAAAAACATATACTGTAAATCAGTACCTATTATATGGGCAGTTACCAGTACTGCTACCACCTAAAGCAAACAGAAATTTGACAAAATGGAAAAATAAACTGAAGGAGTATTTAAAGAAGGCATATCTTTAGGAAGAAAAGGACAGAATATAAGGACTTACGAACAGGGAAACATACTGAGGGAAT